ATCAGCGGCCACTCAGTCAATACTTGAAAAATGCTTCTGTAAAGTGTTCCACAATGTAGGCTCTAATCATGCAAACGGGCGAGCGGCGGACGTCTCTCTCGTAAAAGAGGGGCCGTTCGGAGGTTTTGTGGCTCCTAGATTCAAAAAAACCCACGTTGTTAGGCGGAGATTTGCAACTAAACTAAGGCAAATTTCTTGCCAGGTGTTTTAACTTTCACGTTTGGACCCGAGATTACAGGCAACGAGGAAAAAATGTTGCGACGTGGAACAGAAAAGTTGGAAATGGTTGTAATGTCGGGCGAAGTGTAGTTGGGAACAATTTTTATTGTATTTGTATTTTTCCAATATATTATTGCTCAATAAATGATAATATTTTTTATCTACAGCCTAACATATTTTAGTACCACTATTTGCATATTTCATTATTTGTCCAAACATTAATTTTGGCGATATCTGTGATAGTATAAACGTAATTCTACATTTAAGCAGTATTTATTTCGAGGACATGGGAATCGGAGACATGGCTTAAAATGAACAGGATAAAATATCAATAAATTACATATTGAGAAATGTGCGCAGTAACACTGAACATTTTCCGACTTAATCGAAAGAAAGAAACTGTTTTTTTTATCTTAGTGAAGAAAAGCATTAATGGTGCCGAGCAAATTGGAATAAGTCCGAAATTTGTTCTATTACATTGAAAAATGACCTGGGTCTTCGAAATACTTAACATCATTGATATTAAAAGATTATTTATTATTTCGTCACATTTACATTAATTTTTGTGTTTTCAGCAAAATCGAAAATGAAAATTGGGATAAAAAATTCGTGGAGGTGTTGTGTAGAAAACACAAAATTGAATTCAAAGTATTGCGATGCGGCCATTGCGTTGGAATACCACGGTGGTAATTTGTGATCTGGCCACATCAAGCGCAGGAAACGCATCGAGTTCGGCAGTTCCATTCATCCAATGCCTGCCACCTTGCGGGCTTCGAGGCTCATTTGTCATTTAAGACAGGTGAAGAGCCTTGCTCACTGGCCGCCGCCGCCGCCGCCGCTGCCAGGCCTCTCGCGTTGTCGCCCGGCGGCTTGCTTCCCTGGGCCCTGAGTGGTTTTTAATTTACGCGTTACGTTCGAACTACCGGAGCGTTGAAACCGCAAAACAATCGGCGCCGTTGTAAAAGCGCCGTTTCGCTGCGTCATAAAGGACCGAGCGCACGCCGCCACCGCCGGCGCCGACCGCCGGACGGAGCCCCGCCACCAGCCTCCGTCGCCACGACCTGTACGATGCCTTGGGCTAGCATCACTGGAATGAAGCTGACCACGCTTTGCGCCGATCTCTCTCTTTGCCTCGAGTGTCTTTCTCTCTGACTGGGCTACACTATCACTTTCTCTGTCTGTCTCTCTCTTGTGAGTCTC